GAATCTCAGTGTTGTTTTAATTTGCATTCCTCTAACGACTAACGATGTTGAACATTTTATCATGTACTTATTTGCTATTTATATTTCCTTATCTGAGAAGTGGGTATTCATGCCCATTTTTGGACTGGGTCTTTGAATTGGGGGACGGTGATTTTGTTTTTCACTTCTTTACATGTTGTAGATAGAATTCCTTCATCCAAGGGACAGTTGGCTAAAATCTCTTCCACATTTGTACATTTTCTTCTAACTCTGCTGGTGATTTTTGAATAAATTGAGATACCAGTTGTTGATTCTTTGAAGTATTTCCCATGCAGTTTGGTTTTTGTTCATGAACTCCTTGTCTACCCTTATGCCTTCAAGATTTTTACCTAATTTATTTTCCAGTACACTGAGTGTTTCTGTTTTGATATTTAGATCTTTGATGCACTTTCACTTGAATTTGGTTCCTGGCAATAGACATGGGTCTAGTTTTAGTCTTCAGCATGTGGTGAACCAGTTTTTCCAGCACCATTTATTAAAGAGGCTATTTTTCCTTCAGTGAACTTGTTTGGTCCCTTTGTCAAAGATAAGGTGGCTGAGTGTGTTTATGGTAGTGGGTGCATCTTCTAGTCTGTACCAGATCCTCAGGTTTGTTTTTTTACCAGGACCATGTTGATTTTATCACAGTAGCTTGGTAGTATAATTTTAAGTTAGGGATAGTCATGCCTCCTGACTTGTCTTTGTTTCCCAGGACTCCTTTTGCTATTCTAGGTCTCTTCTCATTCCAGATGAATTTTAGAATTTTTTCCTCTAGATCTGTGAAGCTAACTAATGGTATTTTAAGTGGGATTGCATTGAATTGGTATAAAAATTTTGAGAGTATGACCATTTGCACACTGTTGGTTTTTTCTATCCATGAGTAAGGAATATCTTTCTATTTTCTAAAATCCTCTGCTCTTGTGTTTTTCAGAGTACCGTAGTTTTCACTGTATAGGTCTTTTACTTCTTTCACTAGATTGAGTCCTAAGTATTTCAATATTTTGGATGCTATTGTGAAAAGATTGATTTCCTTAATTTCTCTCTGTATGTTTGTTTAGAGGGTGCTATTGATTTTTGAGTGTTCACTTTGTCTCCACATACACTACTGAGTTTGTTGATTAATTTTAGGAGTCTTTTGGTGGTTTGGGGGTCTTCCATGTAGAGTATCATGTCATCTGGGAATAATGATAATTTCACTTCTTCCCCAACTAATGTTATTCCTTCATATCTTTTTCTTCTCTAATTGCTCTACCAATGTTTCAAGAGCTATGTTGAATAGGAGTGGTGACAGTGGACATCCTTGTGTTGTTTTTAATTTTATAGTGAAAGCTTCCAGTTTTTTTCCATTTAGTATCATGTTGGCTGTTGGTTTATCATAGATGGCTTTGATCAGATTGAGGTAAAGACCATCTATTCCTATTTTCTG